AAGCTTTGTGGCAAGCAAGTTTGCAACGACGGCCATCCCTCACACCCAACCGACCACCTGCGGCGGCTAACACCTCCAGCGTTCGATGGAGACACACACTGACCGACCACAATTAATGACGACGGTGATGGCTAGCATTTTTTGCAATTTGCAACTCTTGGAGGCTTTATGGCAAGCAAATTTGTAGCACTTCCAAGTAAAAATTAGTGTAATTTTTTTTATCAATTAGGTAAAATTAATGTGTATTGAAGTCTTTTACATATCAATCTTGGTTGCATAGCAATCTATCACTCTAGAGTGAATGCTCATATTTCTCCCCTTTTATTTTGGTGCCAGGGGAAACTATCTCTGTGAATCTTGATTTTAGGTCAAGGATTTTTGCATTTTAGGACTTAACATTCTAGAGTTTTTTTTTCTGTATTTTTTGCAATTTTGTGTTTTATTTTTCTGTTTTTTTTCTGAATTTTTTTTTGTGTTTTTTCTGTATTTTTTAGATTTTTTGTATTTTATTTTTATATTTTGTACTATATTATTTTTTATTTAGATAGTTTTATTTTCTGTATTTTTTGTTTTTTATTTAATTTTATGCTATTTTTTATTATTTATTTTTAATTTATTTATGGCACCAACCCTTATTTTTGTCCTTTAAAGAAAAAGTTATCACACATGTGAGAAGGGAGAGGCCAAACAAAATGTGCAAGCAATGTAATGTGAGGCCCCTTGCCTTCTCTCTTTCCTCTTTCTATTATAGAAGATACAATGACATTCAATGTATTTATTTATTTAGAAGGCAAAATTAAATAAATGGAATTATCCTTAAGGCTATGTTTGGAATTGATGTAAATAAAAAACGATGTAAATATTTACATTGGTTCGGTTTTATCTGCATTTAGAAAGAATACATAATAATGATTGACGTAAAATTCCACTCTGATTCAGTTTTATATACACTTGGATGGAGTGGAGTTTTACATCATGAACCAGCCTAAAATCTCATTATATATAAAGTTTTACATCAATCGATATAAATACTATATCAATAAAATCAATATAAAAAGTCGCTTAATGATGATTCAGTGTAAAATACAATGGTCGATAAAAAATACTTGTACAATGATTCTAACACAACCTAAGGAAATTTGTTACAATTAATTACCCGATATAATTTATAGCAACAATACATAACAAAAAGAAGGGGAAGGAAAAAAAAAAAAAAGAAGAAAAGAAAGAAAGAAATGGAGGAAGAACAGCAGCTGTAATACATTAAATTATCACTTTAGAGAGATATAAAAGGTACTACCGAACAACTATAAAATAAAGTGCACATTATGCCCCCACACATGATCGTATTTTCTTTTTTGTTATTTTAAACATCCATCCATCATCATCATCATCATGAATGTACAATTTGAATGACTCGGATTGGGTTTTATCAAAATTTTGAATGAGAGTGGTGAACCCGATATAATGGAAAATGCTAACTCGGCCCCACCAGATTCGACATTATCATAGCAGCCTTATCTCAATTATATGCATCCTTTTTCTTTTCAACATACTCCAAAAATGCTCATGATCGTCGGGTTATGTCAAACTGAAACTGATGGCTCAATCTGGAGATGCTCAAAATTTCTTGTAACCCATAATATAGGCTCGGCCCAGAGCCAAACCTAGAACAAAGTGCAAAGTACTCCTCCCTACAACCGCACGCTTTGTGCCCAAATTGCATGACAAAATATTCTTTTTGAGACAACCAAATAAGTTATCTCATAAGAATATCGCCATGTATTGTTGAAACACTTTGGAGGGTGGTCACAAACCATCAGAATTGCCCTATTTGTGTAGCTTTACAGCACTAGGAAGCAATAATTTAAAAACTAACCTTGAACCAAAACCACTTTGATGTGTCTTTTAGCAATAAACTGATTGTTTTTTAGAAGTCTAACAATTTGTATTTTTGTTTTTTTCTGTTTGGTTGGGAAAAGATTTATTTGCCAAAAGATGCAGCCTTAAAAGACACGAAAAGACTATTTCAGACTATTTTTGGGAAGCTCCCAATGGAGTTTTTCAACTTATTTCATCTCGTCGTTGTGCAGAAAAACACACTTCCAACCAAACGGGCTATAGGCTATCAAGATATTTATGTAAAAGCTCACTATATGTCTTTTGACTGTCAGATCTTTCAGAAGATTTTTCAAAAAAGACTTGCCAAACGACACCTTAATTTGCTTAGTAAAATTGTCAGTTACAAGATAAGACACAAAAAATGTGATGTTTGGCATCGGTGGTGATTTCCCAGGAATCGGAACCACATAGGATCCACATCAGAATTTAAAAAATCAATGATTTTTTTTTCTTGTTTGGTTAGCCAATTATACCAATTTCTGGAAATCAGCTAAAAATCGATTTTTAAAATTGACCGTTTTCAAGGATCACATTTTCTGATTTTAAATAATTCTGATCTTTTGAGAATGACATGACATCTAACATGGCATTGAATAATAACTCTAATACAAAAATAATCAATACCAAACAAATTGAAAGCCAACTTCTCAAAAATTTACTTATATGATATAAATAATACCAAACAATAATTTTTTATAATTTTTCAAAAATCATTAACAATGAAAAATCACCATCAATGCCAAACATCACCCAATTCTGATTTTTTGGGTAAAATATGGGCTGCTTATTTGCACAGGTTCCTGAGTCGAACTGCCGACATCAACAACGGTCTTAAAACCATGACCCATTAAAGGGATATCTATGGTTGATAGTTCATAATGGTATTTTCTGGTCTTCAGGCTTTAAATTGGTGATTTGGGTAAATGGATTATTAATAAATATTAGTATGAACTTGATGTAAAGCAAAATCCCCAAATGGATTTCTCCAACCACAATAGTTCAGTGTGGTTTTTCAATGTATTTTTTATTTTTCTTGTGTATCATCTGAGTTATCCTTAAATCAAACTTTATATTTATAAAATGATATATTCATGGTCATGGGATATAATAAACTCCAGAGAGGTTATTCATATCTCAGTCTGGTCAGTATGTTTCTCCATCACATGGTTCTGACTAATTTTCTTGCTTCTGCCAAAAGAAATTCTTGTTTCCTTTGCTTTTTTTTTTAACTCTTGTCAGATCCTTTTTCCTTTGCCGAACAGTCTATTTCTTGCACTTTCTTCTTTGAGAGACTTCCCTATTACCTTCTTCAGACAGATGTGGTCCTTATATTTTCTCCATTATCTATATCTTATCACTTTTTTCAGGATTGATTTTGGTGGTGGAGAAACTCTTGCTAAGTTATTATCTCTATTATCTATTTATATATCTAATATTCTCTTGGTCTTTATTTTACATTAATTAATCTCAACTTGCCTTTGTCATAATCGAGTCTGTGATGGGCCAATAAAATCTTTAGCCAAAAGAACCCACAATAGAATAACAGAGCCCATCGTCATGTCATGTGCATTGAAAAGGACATACTTTGTCATGTGAAACCCTAACAAGAAGTTGATCCAGCCATGTTTGTGGGACCTACCACACTTGATATGCTTCCCCACATTCACCGGCACCACTCAGCAGAATTTCTCAAAATTGGGATAAATCCACAAACAAACCGAAATTCATCAAATCCCATAACCTCCTTTTTAATGACTTTGTCGGTCAATCCCTCCCCCGCCCCTCTCTCTCTCTCTCTCCACTTGACATAATTTCTCAGATTACGCCAACTCATCAAATCCCATAAACCTCTCCCTCTCTCTTTCTCTCTCTTGCATGGAAGGATAAGGATGGAGAGAAGATGTGGAGGAGATTCAAATATTGAATGGTTGACTGGTAGGAGCTGAGGAGCTGTTCTGTTTTGACTACTCCTCATAACTACTGCGACGTTTTAATATTGGAGTTGGGCCCTATTTAAACAATGACAGGTTTCATAGAAAACTAGGGGTAGCCTAGGTAGGGTAGAGTAAGGGTTGGGGCATTTAAAAATCCCATAAAAATGTAATAAATTACTGGCTAAGGACATGTATATCTTGTAAGGAGATTCATTCTTTTCACTATTTCAACCGTTTCGTCCCATTTTTTAGGTTTACTGCTTTTATCCACAGAGAATTAACATTTTAAAATGGTGAAATCTATCCGCTTATGCTTACATATGACAATGTCAAAATTTAGATCTGACCCAAAATTAGGGTTTGGGAGGTTGACTTAGGATACCCCTTTATAATATATCCACAGTTCGAGGGACTGAGCAGATAGAGATTGGGAATGACTAATGATATCTTAACAAAGCTAGAAAACAATAAGAGAAGCTTCCTGTGAACTTGTTGACAGGGATGAGGAAATTGTGGGAAAGGTTTCTTTGGACTGTATTTGGTCATGTTTCTCAACGATTCAACATATATATATTACAGAAGTGGTGATCAAATAAAGGTGATTAAAAAAGAATGTCTTCCATAACTTTTTATCCAATAAAAAAAAAGAAAAAAATGGGCTCTCTCACACACCCATTCACTAATTATTTATGACTTTTTAGGGTTTTTTATCAGAAATTAGAATAAGAATATAAATGGGTCCAAATTTACTTGATGGTCATCATCCTCTTCTTAATCCAATGGACCAAAACAACCACTTAATTCCTCCCACACCCATTTCAATATGTAGTCTATGAATTTATATATGGGGTCTATGATCAGGGTCATATCTACCAAAAGAAAAGGTGGGTCCAAATTGTATTTGTTTCTAGGTCTGATCATATCAGATGGTCATCATCCTCTTCCTAATCCAATGTGACACAATATCCTCACAAAGATTATTGCCAAATAGGAGATATGGATGAACTCAAGCGTGGAAAGCCTTATCCAAATCTGTTTCTTTTCCATAGTACGAATGGTGGGGGACAAGGAAAGCAAAAGTGGATAATGCCGAATCTAATTCAAACAATTAATTACCAAAACTTATCCTATTCCTCCCCAACAGAAACGCTAGCTGCAACCTTCTTATAGTTCTAAACGAACACCTCCATTTTCACAGTGATATAAATAAATGCCCATAAAGGTGAGTTCCCAACAAGAAAATACTTTAATGCTTATACGTGAGAATTCGGTTGTCTCGAACCAGACATCCTTGGCATGATTGATTGCTTAGAAGGCATAAGACAGAGCAAGAGAGTTGAGGTATCATCAGAGTGAAAATGGATTCTTCCTTCAGATCATCGAAGAACCAAAGAATCGTGGATGAAGAAGATGATGATCTTGGTTCTCTATCTTCCTCGTCTGATATTTCATGCAATTCGAGCTCCTCATCTGTATCGGATTTCCTGGATGATGCAACTTCTTCTACTACTTCTTCCTCCCCTCCTGGTTCATCTTCTTCATCCGAACAACTAGCTGAAGGTCCTCTGTATGAGATGTCCCCCCTCATGAAAGAGCTTCCCTTCAAGTAACTCTCTCTCTCTCTCTCTCTCTCTCTCTCTCGTTCTAACGATATTTGATGGTGTTCTGATCTGATCATTTCTCTTTGCAGGAGAGGGCTCTCAAAACACTTCCAAGGGAAGTCACAGTCCTTCACATCTTTATCTGATGTAAAATGCTTGGAAGATCTTGCAAAGCCTGAGAATCCCTACAAGAAGATGAAATCCTGTAAAAGCTATGCAAGTTTATCAGCTTGCTCCCCCAAAACTTGGACCAAGCCCATCTCAAAGAAGGCTTCCAGAGGTTCTTGTTCTTCACTCAGTGCAAGGAGGAGTAACAGCTTTCTGGGCAACAGCAGGCCCCCAATACCTCCACAAAGGGTTAATAGTTTGTTTGCTTGAATGAATGGGTATTAGGGGATAGAGCCAATTAATTTCTTCTGCAAATCTAAGGAAAAGTCATGGAGATTTTACAAAGTTTTAAAGATTTTGTTTCACCTTAACCTTTTTCTTTCTTTTCTTCCTTCTGGGTCCTGAAGATTAAATGATTAATTTATGATCTTTGCACTGCAGAGAAGATCTGAAGTTTGAGCAACTTACAGGAATTATAGTAGTTTTATTTTTAATTCATTTAATAAATATTATCATTATTTTATGTTCTGGGTATCAGGATTAGATAGTGAATTTTATTCTCCTTAACCATTGATGCTTCAAGATGTTTCGTTATCCGAAGACAATGAAAATTTGTTTAGATTGCTTGGGTGTTCATCATCCGAAGACAATGAAAATTTGTTTAGATTGCTTGGGTGTTCATCATCCGAAGCAAGAGATCTATGTCAGTCGATTTTAAGGCATGGTTTCCTTGGCTACTGTTTTCAACTTCTTACGCAGGAATCGTTTCCATCTCTCCCCATCTGGTCACCAATCTGGAGTGTGATTGCTGGTCCCACCCCTTGATAGACCAAATCAAAATTTGATATTGTCGGCCGATTGGATTCTGACCAGCTTTACTTGTAAATATGGGAAAGAATAAGGCATCTGTGCAAAAAGTTGATGGATGCCCAGTTGTCAGAACATCTCTTGGATTAATGGTCATAAAATATTAATACTCACTTCTTCCAACAAAGATCACAAAACCAATACCTAGGGTATATCTTCATTATCTTGGGCAGTGTTCCAGCTGAACTGGATGGATGCTTGGTTGAATGGGTCTCTCTCAGTAACCCACGGCTACAAAAAAATAAATCGAAAAGCCAAATCGACTGAAAAAATTCATCGAAACCAAATCAAAAAATTGATTAATCGAATTGTTCCGTTCGATTTTGGTTAATCAATAAAAAAATGATGATTAATTGAACCGATCCCTATATATATATATTTATATATTTCATATATATATGTATATTATATTATATATATTTTATATTTTTTATATATTATAAATTAATAAATATGAATTGTATATATAAATATATATATATATATAACTTTTTATTATATATTTATATATATTGTAAAATTAAAAAAAAAAAAATTGATAAACTGAATTAATAGTTACTAAATCGATTGACCGAAAGGTTTTGATTCTTTTTCACGTTCTAATTTTTTAAAAATTGGTAGTACTGGTTCAATTAAAAAAAAAAGGCCCAGGGTTCTGAATCATAAGCATCCCAACCCATGGCCAAAGGCCCAATCCACCCTATATTAGGTAGAACAATCCATATAAAATCTATCAATTCATCTTTGAGATGATTCCATGCAACATTTGAGATGTGTGGTGTATTTCAATCCACACCTAATGTTATGATTCCATGCAACATTTGAGATGATTTATGTTGTTAAGCATTAAAAACAATATTTTTTAATAGAATACATAATAGAGAAATATTAGTAAACTACTAACGATATTAATAATTAATAAAAACAATATTAATAATATTAAATAACAAATAATAATATTAATAATAATTAAAAATGAGTAATAATATTAATGATAATTGATAATATTATTAATAAAATTTAATAATAATTAAAAATATTATTAATATTAATAAAATTCATATTTGAAACTTATTAATTAATAAAATAATATTTATAATAAGTAGTATTATTAATTATTAATTATTGATAACATTAATTGATAAAAGTAATTATTTATATTAGTAAAATTAATATTCAAAAGAAAAAACTCTAATTCGATGGTCGTTTGTTACCACCTGAATATGAGTCCCACCCACCATAAGGTTCCTTCTGTCTCACTACAATTCCTAAACTTAATGACCATGATGTAGGCTTTATCTATTCCTTAACAGATCTACTTTGCCCCTAAATAAATAGTTGCTAGGAGCCCCCCAATTCCCTATTTTCACCTTCGGCCATTGTTAAACCTCAATTCAAATCAAGGCTTGAATGTGATGGCCCAACACTGTCAACCCTGATGAAGGGCCTTGCATGCTCATAATGAATGATGGATGGTTGGGACTTGGGAGTAAGAGGGGTTGGGGGCTGGAGAGCCCACTTTTTGTGGCACCACAAGGGCTTCCCTTGAATCAATCATGTATAGAACAAAGGCAGGTCCATACATAACTGGTGAAAGAGATAAAGAAAGCCCCACGTGAGGCCACTATAACTAAACAGTGGAGGTGTGGATGTATAAATGTTGTATTTCTAGGGTAAACGTTTTATTGAAAAATGTAACTTTAGAGGTTGTTTGAGCCTTGCACAAGCAATTCAATTCTTGAAAAATCTAGAACATCTTGGGAAACGTAGAGAACTGATCTAGTATTAAAAAAGTTTGAAATCGATTCATGTGACATCAATGAAAATAAAAGCATTGGTCTAAAGATTGTTTGGTGTTTCTTCTTTGTAAAAAACTTGCATATACAATGCATGTGCATGCAACACTACATCTTTGTACTAATCCAACGGTGCAGAAATAATTAACACAATTAATCTATAAATAATATTATTAATCATGATTAATTTAAATATTAAATATATTGAATGCTTAAATAGTTGACATGATTAATTTGTATTATTATATAAATGAAAAATATTAATACACACATATTTTAAAATATTAAAATAAAAAAAAATAACACAATAAACTATATAAATAATGTAAATTATTAATTTATACTATTACAAACTGAAAAATGATTAATATGATCACTCATGTTTAAATTAAAATATTAAAAATATAGAAATACATAAATAAATAATATAATAAACTATGCATTGATAATGCATATGATTAATTTCAAATATTAAATATTTGAGAACAAAAGATAAATATAAAACATTAAATTAACATGATTGTTTTCAAAATATTAAATTAATATATAAATACATAAGCCGCAAAATAATATAATTAACTACATAATAATGTACATGATTAATTTAAATTATTAAATATTCGAGAATAAAAGATAAACATACTGGTTGTATTAATATTGATTGAGAATGTTTGCATACTACATTATAAACTTAAAATTTCAAATACAAAAGTGTTTCGAATAAAAAACCGTAATGAAGAATGAAATATATTAACCGTGAATAACAAATATATCACTTTTAACACTATCAACCAATAAAGAAAGAGGAGAGAGAGAGAGAGAGAATTTGGTAACAAGTATCACTTAACAAAAATATTCAACATAGTCTATTGTTTGCTTCATATATATGTTTACTACCATAACATTCCTTGTAAAGTTATTCTAGCAAATATAGAAAAATCCAATGATGTGTGGCAAGTGTTCTACTTTGATAACTTGATGGTGAATAGAGCCATTTCAAGTAATAGCCAAAACATGAAACAAATTACATTGCACCCACAACAAGCCAATAAAATCAACTTCTTTATGGCTTCACACCCATCATTGCCATGAGTAGACATAACATTCCCTTCTCGAATTCTCAATGGTAGTTGTTCTCCTAAATATTGATTAACCTAGTTGGCCATCAAGTTTTCAACTTCTCATCTCTCTAATTTTGAATCATGTCGTGCTTCTCTATTTATGAAATCGTAATTAATAAAGCAAGTTGCCACTATATACCTTTGAGATTGTATCTCACAAGGAGACATATATTTTTAGGATGGGGAACTTCCCCTTCAATCTGCCTAAACATTGTTCAATGACATTCCTTAGTGAAGTATGGGTGAAGTTGAACAAACCTTTTTCTAAATCTACCCGATTGATGGTGAAACTCACTCAAATGATATCTTGTTCCAAGATAAAGAGTAAGATATTCAGGTGCACTAGCAAATCTAGAGTCTACAATGTAGTATTTCCCTACAATTTATAATTTACGGGGGATTAATCTATTTAAGGTATGTAAATAAAACTAAGTTGAAAGTTCATGAAACTATAGGGGGTGTTTTAGTAAATGACCCAAAACATATTTGTATGATCCAAAAAGCATCATAGTTCAAAGTATATAAAGTGGGCATCTATGGTTTAGTGATATAAAAGAGAGTTGTCCAAACAAACATAGGATGTTAAAATTTGGTAATAGAAAAAGAATCAGAAAGCATAACCACTCCAAAAAAGTCCTATGCTAGACCTCCTAACATATTCCCAAAACCCAAACAAAGCATCCCTCCCTCCTCAAACATCATGTCCATCCAATGTATGCAACCAAGTGATCCTTAGTTCATCTAACATGTTGGTAAACATGAACCTCTAAATATCTTCTTTGAACAATTTCGTTGCATATATACAAATAGCATTGTGGAGGCAAATTATGGGTTGCATATATGTCATTCAAGATTAAGATGCAACTATCAACACTTTGCTACTCCTTGATTAAATCATTAGATGGCTCATCTTGACCTTTCATGGCCAAGCATCTCCTTCTCAAGGTTCAGCTTTTGCACCTCATACTTAAGTTTACTAGCCTCAGCCCAAATGGACATTGCTACATCTGAGGAGGAGGGTGTAGCCTTTCATTTCTTCTTCTTCAAGGTCAGTAGTCCACCAACCTTAGTTTGACGATCAATTATGTACTTAACATCTTCATCATTTGCTTCAAATTCACAAGTCATTGGAGTTTTGGGACCACAGTTATGAACAACTAGTTGTGTCTCAAACACTCCATCCTCATTATCAAATGGTATTTGTATACAACTATAGGCATGTTTGTTAGTGGCTTGTGTTCCTAGGAAGACAAATTCCAACTCATTCCAATATTCATATTTTTTGAACCTAAACTTCTAGGCCCATCCATGTGTCGACAAAATTTGTGTTAAAATGAAATTAACTTTGCAAGTATAAGCAACTACATGCATCAAACATATCATTATGCCTACATACTTAACTTGATATATATTGGCCCATACGTCATCATTTGTCGTAGGCTTCTTTGTCTTAGGGTCAATAGTAAACCTCATGTGAGAAAGCAAAGTATTATACTGAGCCCTCCTCCTCAATGCATTATACTTGTTCTTAAATTGGGAGTGCACATAGTAACTTTTGTGAATCCTATTGAAATTCTCTTGAATGTACTTTGGCTACTAGAGCTTGAAGTTGATCTATTATTGCCTTTTACCATTTTCACCATTAATTAAGTCAATGAGAGTCTTTTCTTTGGCATCAGTCCAACTTGCATTGACCTTGGTCATCTTGTCCTCAATTTCAATAATAGTTGATGCATCTATCCTATTAAATAAATTGTAATTAGATAATAGTTAAAGATGTGTAACCGCTCTTGTCATTATTGCCTCCAACTCATCTATAAATAGACTTATGTAAGGGATGTTCCATTCCTCTATAATCACCCAATCCTATATTTACGACTAATGCTAATATTTGATCATGAATTTAGAATGACAAATATGTATTAAGACTGATT